AAAAAAATAGTAGCTAAAAAATCAACTTAATAAGGGATCACAGTTATTATTTATTAAGGCCTGGGAGTTGGATAGATTTGGAGGAAATCAGCGGTGTCACAGCTAGCCTTGACCCGCCCAGGTGTGCGGACTCACCTCCATCGAGCTCCACCTGAATCCACAGAGGATCCCCAAAGACGGCCCGGCAGAGGGGGCCGGCTCCCAGCTCGGACAGGCCGGGGCACCCGGTCACTCTGAGTCTCTCCATCTTGTCTTGCACTGTCACTTGCTTCTGAGCTGTCACATGCCACTCGCTGGTCGTGCACTCAGCAAACACAGAGAACTCCCCAGGGGACGTAAACTGATGGGTCACGTTGCTGGACAAACTGCCGGCCACAATCAGAAGCGTTACCAGTGTTGGGGACGCACGAACACACACATTCACACATGCGCCTCACACCTTCCCTGCTCTGCAAAAATGAAAAGACGAGGAAGACGATGCTACATGTCCAAGCCCGGCTCTCGGTGTTAGGGCAGGTTACACCAAGGTGTCCAGAGTGGCTGCGGAGAGGTAGAAACTGCACTGACCAATCAGAGACGAATTTTGCCTGCAGGTCCCTTTCCTGCCGTTTACCCGTCTGCGGCCTACACAATACCCCTCACTGCGCGCTTCCGCTTCGTCTCTGAAATACTGTGCTCCAGACTACCTTTCTCCGGCTTATCTTCCCCACCTGTAAAATGGGACCAGATTCCAAACGTATCAAAGTTATGGGTATGTTTTGCTTCTCATTTTCCTGAGGGGACTAATTAAAAATCTATATGGCCTGCATAGACCTAACCCTCCTAACCCACCGCACTGCTCAGGTCTGAATGTTGTGTCCCTCCAAAATTCACATGTTGGAACCTAATCCCCAACGCGGTGGTATAAAGAGGTGAGGCCTTTGGGAGGTGATGAGGTCATGAGGGTGGAGCCTCCATGAATGAGATTAGTGCCTGATAGAAGAGGCCTGGGGGAGCTTGTTCACCCCCTTCCACCATGCGAGGACAGTGTGAGAAAGCGCCATCTGTGAACCAGAAAGTGTGTCCTCACCAGACACGGAATCTGCTGGCACCTTGATCTTGGGCCTTCCAGCCTCTGGAACTGTGAGCAATACGTTTCTGTTGTTTGTGTGCGACCCAGTCTGTGGCACTGTGTTACAGCAGCCAGAACAGAGTAAGACAACCACTCGTCTCCCTCATCCCCGGCCACACTCCCCTTCTCTAACTGGACTGGTCACTCGGCCCTCTGTCCGCTGCCTAGACCAGCCGCCTCCTTCCCACCTCAAGGCTGCCAAGGGTGCTGCTGTTTGCTGGGGGGCTGTAGCCCACCTCCTTGCCCACACTCATGCTGCTCCTTCGGCTCTCAGCTAAACACCAACTCCCCAGGGCAGCCTTCCGTCACCCACCGACTAGGTCAGGTTACTTCATGAGCTGCCATAGCTTCCCTGCTTCTCCTGGGTGATATGTGTGCTGATTCAGTGTCATTGCTCCCTGCTAGGCTGTCAGTGTAGACAGTGTCTGTCTAGTTCTCTGTTCTGTACCCGGCACCCAGCACAGTATCTAACACCTAGTTAGTGCTTGAGAAGAATCTGGCAAATGAACACATTTGTGAAAAACTCCACTCTTGTTGCTAGCCAAGGTGGAGTAAGCCCAGTACAGCCTACTTCTTCCTTGATTACAACTAAAAACCTCAGCAGAATTTAAAAAGAAATACCTGAGGACTCTGAAAAATAAACGACAGCAGGCAGATTGGGGTGGAAAGTCAAAACATGAAGAATGGTGCATACAGATGAGTTTCCTGTTTCGTTTTGCCTTGTTTTGTAATCCCCTTTATGTCTTAGCTTTGACCCAAGGGAAGCCTAAGTCATGGAACTATGTAGTGGGTGAAGATAGCAGAAATCTCAATAAAAATCCCCTCTAGCTGGGTGCCACCATACCCAGCTAAGTTTTTAAAAAATTTTTGGGCCGGGTGCGGTGGCTCACGCC